CTTACCTGTTCAATCTGCATGTCTGTCCAAGCATCTACTCAGAGTTCGTCTCTATTGCGGGCCAGTGAACTGAACAGTGTTTCCCTCCGTGCCTTTAACTCCGGCAAGGCCCCTAGTGTCTCCCCTCCCTCCATCAGCTCTTGTCACCCTGCCCCTGCTGTGCACCTCCTTTCCTTCACCCAAGCCAGCACCAGTCTGCCTTCTGGACTACGACTTCTCTCCTACCCTTCCCCTTTGTAACCAAGAGATTGTGTCTTTTCGAGCAAAAAGCTTGTCTAGGCGTGTAAAAATACCTTCATACCATATTTGTCCCTTTGAGATTGACTAGTTTGTAGTCAAAACACTCAGGATAATGCCTTCCAGGTTCATCTGTGCCAGCGTTTCCCAAAGTGGATGAACCACGCCCGAGGGGGCGCTGGCACGATCCAGGGGACTGTAAAGGCAAATGCCTACACTTTACCATGGATTACAGGTGACAGTACAAAAGTGTGTAATTGCTAGGGAGCATCAGATAGTTTTTTCTCCAAAATCAGGGTGGTAGATGAAGTAAGTTTGGGAGCCTACGGTCTATGTTCTGAGGTGCTCGCAGGGGCATGCCTGTGCTTTAACGTTGGCGAGTACCCCACTGTACATGGGTACCTCCCTCACCTTTCTCCATGGGCAGGTAGGTTAGTTGCTTCCATCTTCTGGCTACGTGAAGAGTGCTGCAGTGAACGTGGGTGTGCACCTATTTATGCACGCTCTTCTTTCCCTGAGATCTAGAACAAAGCTGGATGTCCATTTGCAGAAGAGTGAACAGGACCCATTTCTCAAATCAGACAAAAACAAACTCAAGATGGATCAAACACCTAAATGTAAAAACCTAGAAATACAAGGATCATCGAAGAAAAAATAGGAACGAACATAGAAGATCCAATCAACTCACTCAAACTCACTGTCATTGAGTCCGTGGTGACTCACAGTGACCCTGCAGGACAAAGCAGAACTGCTCCTGTAGGCTTCCAAGACAGGACCTCCTGAGAGGAGCGCAAAGTCTCATCTTCCAGCCACAGGGCAGGCAGCAGCCCAGTGCATAATTCACTACGCCCCAAGGTTTCCTGAAGGGACCTACTAGATGGCGCACATATACTATGAAACCTAAGGAAAGGCACACGCGCATCCGAAGATAACACAGATGACCGAGACTTCCTAAAGCTTAGACACATGCATCAAAACATTTCACCACGAGAACCACAGACTGAGAAAAACAATTGGCAATGACATATTGGATAAGGAACTAATCTCTAAAATGTATACAAAACATCAGTATCTCAACACAGTCAAATAATCCAATTTGAAAACAGGCAGAGGAAAGGAACAGATACTTTACTGAAGACATTCAGGCGGCCGATAAACGTGAAGAAATGGTGGCCGTCATTAGCCATTCAGGAGACGTGAAGTAAAGCAACACGGAGAGACCACTGCATCCCAGCACAGAGCAGTTACACACTTCACGAGCGCGGAGGCCCTCAAACAGCATACGTAAAACACGGACAGTCTCCCTTCACACCACTCCCACCACATTCCCTCACCCGGGCTTCGCAGGTGTAGCTGTGCGCTGCCAGATCAATTCCAACTCAGGGCAACCAGACAGCAATGAGTAGAAACGCCCGGCCAGAATCTTTCCCAGAGCGGATCACCAGGCCTCTTCTGCAACGTCGGTGGGTTCGAATCCCTGACCCTCTCAGTTAGCGGCAGGACTTAACCACTGTGCCGCCTGATTGCTCTTGTGCTACGGGCCAGCATTTTTTACCATTCATGCTAATTTCCTCAGGTCAAGTCCAAAAAAGTGGATTTTCTGGGTCAACGGAGTCATATAATTTGAAAGACTATAAAACAACACGGCCAAAGAGTCCTCCTGAAAGATTTTACTAACTCATATTCCCAACCACAGAATGGGACAGTGTCGGGTTTTCGTTTTCTCATGTCATTACTAGCCCTTTTAATGGTTCTAAAGTTAAGAGGGGGGAAAAAATGAAACTTCATTATCCTAATTTACATATTCTTCTCATTAATGAGGATAAGTCTTAATGTTCTCTGACCATCTGAGAATTGTCCTTTACATCTTTCAGTTTGCTTACTCACATGTTTTGCCCATTATTCTGATAGTCCCAGGAATTTGTAAAAACTCCACATAGAAATGCAACATGCCATACTGAACTTTGTCATTTATGAACTAACTTTGCTTCTGTTGTTAAGTGTGCAGATCTAGTGGTTTCTGGCCTTGATATCTTGCTTATAAAGGCCTTTCCCACCTCCAAATCATAAAAAAAAATTGGGCCTCTATTCAAGTACTCCCTCATGGCAAGAACACTTTGTTCTAATAATCTGGCATTCCATGATGCTCAGCTTCCCAACATGAGCACTGAAGACAAAATAGGTGCATAAGCAAATGTGGTGAAGAAAACTGATGGTGCTCGACTAGCAAAAGATACAACGTCTGGGATCTTATAGGCTTGAAGATAAACAAGTGGCCATCTAGCTGAGAAGCAACAAAGCCCACATGGAAGAAGCACACCAGCCTGTGTGATCATGAGCCGTCAATGGGATCAGGTATCAGGCATCAAAGACCCAGAACAAAAAAATCATATCAATGTGAATGAGGGGGAGTGCAGAGTGGAGACCCAAAGCCCATCTGTAGACAATTGGACATCCCCTCAGAGAAGGGTCACAGGAGGAGACGAGCCAGTCAGGGTGCAGTATAGCACCAATGAAACATACAACTTTCCTCTAGTTCTTTAATGCTTCCCCCACCCCGCCCCCACTATCATGAACCCAATTCTACCTTACAAATGTGGTTAGACCAGAGCATGTACACGGGTACAGATAAGAGCTGGAAACACAGGGAATCCAGGACAGAAAAACCCCTCAGGACCAATAAAGACAGTAGCGATACCAGGAGGGGAAGGGGAAGGGGAAGGTGGGGAGAGAAAGGGGGAACCGATCACAATGATCTACATATAATTCCCTCCCAGGGGAATGGACAACAGAAAAGTGGGTGAAGGGAGACATCAGTCAGTGTAAGACATGAAAAAATAATAGTTTATAAATTATCAAGGGTTCGTGACAGAGGGAGGAGAAAAAAATGAGGAGCTGATACCAAGGGCTAAAGTAGAAAGAAAATGTCTTGAGAATGATGGTGGCAACAAATGTACAAATGTGTTTTTTTTGTTTTTTCTAGCACTGTGGCCAAAATATGGAACACTTCACGAATTTGCGTGTCATCCTTGCGCAGGGGCCATGCTAATCTTCTCTGTATCGTTCTAATTTTAGTATATGTGCTGCCAAAGCGAGCACATACAAATGTGTTTGGCACAATGGATGTATGTATGGATTGTGATAAGAGCTGTATGAGTCCCCAATAAAATGATAAAAAGAAAAGATGAAAAAAAGAAAAAACCCTCAATTCTCATTCCCACCCCAATATCATATAGCTATAACCTAAAGAAAAAGTAGTACGTATACAGTGACACAGATATCCCAACACTTATGCTGACCATTCCTCCTTGATGATGTTTTGCAGTATATATACAATGAGAGACAGTCAGACAGTACTGGGTTATTCACACAGACTTTGCTAAAGGAAAATCAAATAGGCCAAGCTACTATCGTCTCCTTTTGACTCCAGGTACAGTGACAGGCCTACTGAATCTGTTGCTATGACAGGCTTCACAAAGTTTGTGGGGAAAATTCCATTATCTTATCATTCCTTCTGTCCTAAGACTTTTGGAAGCCCACATGCTAGAAGCAGAAAGTATGCTGACCCGGTCTATGTCGACTACACAGCACGAGCATGGATGTGGAGTCGCCGCTTGTGTCCTCAGGAACCGCGCTACGAAAAACAACACTCAGTTCTCTAGCTCCGAGGCTGGTGTTAAATTTGTTCAGTGACTAAACCCGCTAGAGAACGATGCTGGTGAGCAGCCATCACCAATCCACGAAGGTAACTCTTCTCCCCATAAATTACTGAATGCGACAGAAACAGTGTGGTAGACACAAAGATTGTTATCCAGCAAAGATATCCTGAATTCTTGTTTTACTGAAAAAATAAAACAAACTTACTGCCATCGAGTCGATTCCAATTCATAGAGAAGCTATCGGACAGGGTAGAACTGCCCCGGTGATTTCCCAGACTCCTTCAGGGAGTAGGAAGCCTCATCTTTCTCCTGCCCACTCTACAGAGGGAGCAAATAATACAGTTCCGGCCAATGACATGTAAGAAGGTTGTTGGGGATGGTTCTGGGAGAGCCTTCCTTTCCTTCTCTGTGAGAAGAGTCAGACATCCTCCTTCCCTCTTCCTCGTGCCCTGAGTACATTTCGTGGCTGAAGCTCCAGCAGCATCATGAGACCATGCGGGACAAGCCAAGAGATGGCTGTCCTAACAGCAGAGGAAAGTAAAAGCCACTGCCAGCAACTGTCTGCTATTCCTCAATGTTTCTGCCAGGAGAGTAAACTTCCATTTGGTTATGCCTCTGTCGTCAAGGTTTATGTTTCTTGTGGCTCAAGTGCAATCTAACCCTAAATACAGTCATTTTCAAACCATTCTTATGCCTATGTACACACTCGAAAATTATACGTGAACCAACAAGAGCCCGGAAAACAAAGCACCACTTTTGAAAGTAAAGCATATGTGTAAAGCCCCAAAATATATAGAGCGAGCCTGGTGCTGCCCTCACCCCACCCTCTGTCTTAGAGAAGGTCAAATCTTCAAGGCAGGTGGAATAAAGCTAAAAAGAGCAACACAACAAAAATCCATTCACAGAACACTGAGATTTAGGAAAATTTTTGTTCAATTTATAGTAATTATGGGAGTGAAAAGTCATGACAGGGACCCTTTGCTATAATGCCGATGACAAATGGTTAACTGATAATCAAAAATGGAGAGGGCGACAGGCTGTACAACAGGTCAATATCGGACTGTCATGCAGCCATTTGAGACATATAATTCATCTAGTACTCACCTGGCATCATCATTCATTGTAGTATGGTCAATAGGTGCCATGAAGCTCAGCAGCTTACTAAGGACATGAAACCTAAATAAAGCAAGAAACAGGCAGTAACATTAGTAACTATTACTCTAGGAAAGGAGACACATTCTAGGAGCTCAAAAACTCCAGAGCCAATCACAGAACCCTGGCTCCGGGTCAAATAGGGGACAATTCATAGGCACTTAACGCTCACAAAGATTTTCCCCTTTTCTTTATCATTTTATTGGGGGCTCTTACAGCTCTTATCACAACCCATACATGTATCCATTGTGTCAAACACATCTGTACATATGTTGCCATCGTTCTTTTCCAAAATGAGCCCTTGGTATCAGCTCATTTTTTTCCTCCCCCACCCACCCTCCCTCGTGAACCCTTGCTAATTTATTAATTTTTTTTTTCATGTCTTACACTGACCGCTGTCTTCCTTTACCCACTTTTCTGTTGTCCATCCCCCAGGGAGGAGTAATAAGTCAATCATTGTGATCGGTTCCCCTTAACTCCACCCCCACCCCACCCCTTTTCCCTTCCTGGTATCGCTGCTCTCATGATTGGTCCTCAGGGTGCGGGAGTTCCTCTGTCTTGGGTCCCCTTTTCATTAATGCTATTGGGGTAGGGATGGGGGTAGTCTGATATCAGCCCATTGTAAATAATAGGAATTCAACACAGAGTCATTTTTAGCCCAAAAAGGAGCAAAATGGTGCTCTAGAGGACAGACTAATGCTTAAACATCAGTCCACTGAGCAAAAAGCCAAAACTCATTACAGAACATTTGAAAAGTAAAAATTTAAAAAAAAAGAAAAGTAAAAAATTTAAGCACATAAAAATAGGTGGTCCCTTTACCTTGAAACAAGCCTTGTTCATACATTTTGGCTAGTTGTTTGTTTTACATGTGATACTGTCCCACCAACAGTAGCTGAATGGCTGCTCACAACATCATGAGCGACAGTAGCATATCTCCCCAGACGGCTGAACATCTATCTCTTCTTTACTTACTTATTATGATGCAAGAAACTCTCTGTGCATAGTGCTTTTAAAAAATGTATTGGAATAAATAAATGTGTTTGTTGTTATCCCTTAATTATAAATATTAATAAAATTATTAATTAAGTAATTAATTGATTGGTGATTAATAAAA